CAGGGACTGGAATGCCTGCTGAGCCCTGGGAGCCTGCAGCCTCTTGGGTCTCCCCGTGGACATCTGCAGCATGCAAGGGAAGGGTCCCCATTTCTGCCCCGGGCGTGCCCTCCGCCGTGCACCCACCGTGAACAGTGAACACCATCTCTGTACTGATGAAAAATGGAGTCATCCAGGACTAGAGGCCCTGGGTGGGATCCCCAGCACCAAACAAAACAACAGCCACCAAGACCCAGAACTCCACCAGGGGTCCTTGAAGAGGGCAGAGGGTAACTAAAGGTGCAATAGAAATATCCTGATAGAGGGCTGGGAGGGCTCAGTGGTGGAGGCTTTGCAGCTTGTGCAAGGCCCTGGGCTCAATGCTCAGCACCGTGAAAAACAAAAAGAGAGGAAGTGGAACAGTAACACAGCATTTGGAAAATCTAAGTACGCTGGTGTAAAAAGGTGTTCGGGACATATTTTTTTTTTAATCTTTATTTATTTTTATGTGGTGTTGAGGATTGAACCCAGAGCCTCACATGTGCTAGGTGAGCTCTCTACCGCTGAGCCACAGCCCCAGCCCCTTGGGATATATTTTTAAGTGAAAGCAGAACATTGCGAAATAATACATACGCTGTCCATCATTATGACACAACAAACAATCCATTCTCTAAATCTCTCTATGCACAGGGCAAGTCTGGAAAGATATTTCACAGTGGTTATAAAGGCTGCCTCAGAGGAGGGGAGGGGACGGTAGGGATGGTTAAGAGGGACTTCATGCCTCCCTTCTGCAACCTTTAACCTAAGTCCAGGAAGCCTGTCCCAGCTCCCAGACCCCCCAGAAGAAATGGAATTTCTAATCCTAGAGCCAAGGCCAAGTTGTGCTGCTAGCATCCAGAGTGGGAATTCGGAGTAGCTTGTAAATAACCAACTTCCAACCACGACAGTAAAATGGTTATAACCACTAGTTATTACCTCCCCACCTGGCTTGGCCTTGTACCCTCCCAGCTCCGTGGTGAATGTGGCAAGCACAGAACTGACCGTCTAGAACAGTGGGGGATCTCAGATTCTTACCCTTCTGTGGGCAGGGAAGTTTTCCTGCCAAGATGTCATGAATGCTGGCAGAAGACCCGAGACTCCTGGGTCAGAGACAAAGGATTGATTGATTGATTGATTGGTTGTAGTCCTGGGAATTCAATCTGAAAGCACTCTTCACTGAGCTATGTCCCCAGCCCTTTTTATGTTGAGACAGGGTCTTGCTAAATTGCTAAGGCTGTCCTGGAACTTTCGATCTTCCTCATCCTCCAGAACAGCTAGCTACAAAGGACTTTGTTACTCAAGCACGACAGGCAATACAAGTTCAAGTTCACCTTGACTCCACTCCGCCGCCTCCTCGGGTCACAGGGCAGACTGGCGATGGGCTCAGGGAGATGCTGTGCTCACGGTGGGTTTATGCTCCAGTGGAGGAAGCCTGTGACACTAACCTTTAGTCTGCTTCTTCCTCTTTCTTTTCTTTTCTTTTTTCTTTTTCTTTCTTTCTTTCTTTTTTTATTTTTTTGTACTGGAGATTGAACCCTGGAGCAATCTACCACTGAGCTCCATTCCCAGCCCTTCAACCCTTTTATTTTTTATTTTGAGACAGGGACTCACTATGTTGCCCAGGCTGGCCTTGAACTCGCTATCCTCCTGCCTCAGCTTCCTGAGTGTCTGGTATTACAGGCATGTGCCACCAGGCCTGGCGGGAACCGGGGAGACAGTCTTTATTAGCCCATAACACAAGCAAATCTACCCTCAGGGGAGAAGGGAGTCATTCTCTCTATCTATCCTCTAAGGCCACCTGTTACTAAGTATCTTCAAAGAGACAATCAAGACAGAAAGACAAACAGAAATGCTAAGAAATGGGAGACTGGCCTCCTAAGGTTGACAACTAAGGACTTGGGCAGTTGAGTCTCTCTCTCCAGGATCACAAACTAGGACAAAGCTGATTCCAAAGCCCCTGTCTTCTCCTCTTGCCTCCAAAATGAGCTGCTCCACTGGCCGGGAACCCAGGAGGCACAGACAGAGTCGCTTCACAGGGAAAATCCACTCGGACTTCTGCACAGGGACCTACGACAACCGTGGGCACAGGGCTGGCCTGTGGCTCTGAGAATAGGCACTGCCACACGCGCCTGATCCCCAGGACACAACCGTCTGAGAGAGGACAACCCCTGCAGTGCTGTGCCCCGGGAGTCACAGGAGAGCTGGAGTAAGGCATGAGCTTCCGGAGATGGCATCAATGCTCTCTTCTTTTGCAGAAGTTTATTTTGAAAGCGCGTTGTTCGGTATTTATTTATACAAAATTTATTTATGGAGCAAAGCGAGCCGGCCTTGGCCTTCAGCACCCAGCCAGGAAATGGTCTGGACTTGTTTTCTTTTCTCCTCAGAACACCTTGTCCCACAGCAGCCGAATCTGACTTTTTCAGAGTTGGAGGTTGGTTGGCCCTCCCATGGCCCATGACCAAGTTCTGGTCCCCAGAGCCCACTGCCCTGGAGAACAGGCAAGGAGAGGCCAGGTTTAGCCCTGGGTTCTGCCGCAGTCTGCCTGGGCACAAAATCAGGAGCCACCACACACCTTGTAGATTCCAACAGCAACTCTTTATTCTCGAACTGTCACGGGCACTCTACACACAGGTTCTGGGCAAAATCCACGCCCTCCACCGGGCTCTGAATCCCAAGTACTCTCTGAATCCCAAGGAACTCAAGGATCGGGTGCCTGGAGGCAGCAGGATACGCCCTATTCCCAGCAGGATACACCTTAAACCTGGAACCGCCCTAAACCCAATGAGAGCCCTAAACTCTGATCCGCCCTAAACCCTGATCCGCCCTGGTCCTTGAGCAAGGTCACCTTACATGCAATGTCACTGCAAATGACCTGGGTCATGCCATGCGTCATTCCTACTTGGCAATGGCTCTCAGCAG